AGAATCTCCGGCAACCTCCCGGAGCTCGCACTGGTACTCCCGCTTGGTGTTGCCCAGGACAAGGGCCCCTTCTCCGGGTCTTCGCCGTCGCGAGGATCCTCTCAGGCAGCACGTATTCGGACACCGGGCTTTCGGCTCGTGGTAGCGCTCTTTCTGTGGTAAAGTGGGAGGGCGAGATGAAATCACCACCGCCAGACGATCGCGAAGACCCCCCAAATGGCTCGGTACATTAGCGAATGATGAATACCAGTTTTCCAAGGTATTGCCTTCGGCGCCGGGGGTCGATTCCCACTCGAGATAACTATTTGTGTTACATATTTGTTTCGAATCCAGATTCGAAACTTATGTATGTTATGTAAAAATGAAAAAACTTGAAATTTATATATGTAAAACGTCCTTACAACCACGGGATAATGTTATCCTAAAGGGCAATATTATTTTTTTAAAAGAAAGAAATTAAAAAAGAATGGAATGTACATTAGCAGAAAAAACGCATGCCCAAATAAGCAAAAAGTAACTTGTTTTTAATTCATATCAGCAGCGGTACAAATTACGCGCCAATGGACCAAACCGTGACATTACATTCTAACTAGGGATGGGACATCAGTGTGTCGATTGTGCACGATTAGTGCTGTACCGACCTCATCGATGAACCGATTATCTTCCTATCAGTATATCCTTATCGAAGGGGCTACGTAATTTTTTTTTGCGTTTTATTCAAAACATTCCGTATAATATGATAATAAATGAATATTTATAATAGGTAAATGATAAACATAAAATTAATACATACTTTTTCTTTTCAATAAATAAATACGTATTATAGATATAAACACACAGACACTACAAACTATGGTCATCACACAAAAGTTCATGTATTAGGGATAGAACCCTGTGGTCAAGACAAGTTCACTATCCACCAGGCGATCGGATCGTAGACGGCTGCTTCCCCTGAAAGTTCCACCACCACAGCCCTAGCGACTCACCATGACCAGTTGGAAGTAGATCCTCGATATCTCCGTCGCGGAGTCGTTCTTCGCGCGGACGGTGATTTGGCATCGCCTGTCCAGGGCAGAAGCCCGACACCGGCACCTCGACCCTGATCGTGATCGGCTGCGAGCTGCAGCAGCAGCTATACAACTCCTCGAACTCATCGCGATGGGCCGCTGGAACTTCAAACCGCCAAACGTCTGAGACGACTCCACTGTGGCAGGTGGATTCGCTTCCCTAAAACGGACACCTGGCGGCTCAAGTGATGTTATAGTTAAGGTGATTACCGCCGCGCCCGTGGACCTCGGCAACACCCGTACGGTTGCAATGTGTTGCCAACCTTTTAATAAAGTGAGTGTGGTAAACGAAGTAACGTAAGCCCCACTCGCGATGTGTAGAAATGTCATCAAGTCATGCTCCTTCTGTGGAGACGCGGTACTTCCCCCGAACGAGTTTGCTCTTTGTCTATTCTTTTAACAGCAAAGATTACGACGTGAAAAAAAATGACTGCCCAATCATAGTAAACGGCCTTATAATGTTCCCACTGCTGGACAAAGGCCTGATTTTTTTCTGTGGAATTAGAATATTGTCCACCACGTGACCCCCATTGCAGATAGGCGGTTGGTTTCAGTTTATGTTTGAGATATTTTCTTTAATTATAGTTTCAAAAAATATTATGCAGGTTTCCTAACATTTAGTTTTCCTTCACAGATGACCCATTGTGGATGGGTTGATCATGTAAACAAAATCAATGTTAATAATTACAGTTTCAGCATTATTGTATTTTAGGTAATATTTTACTTTTACATGTGTTTTATTGTTGTAAAACTTGAAAAAAGTCATGAAACTTTGAACTTATAACGGTAATGCTATTATTTTAAATGAATGGAGAGAAATCATTTAAAAAAAATTAAAAGAAGAAAGAACGAAAATGACGATGAAACGTTGACACCCCACTTGAAAGTTTTTGCCTATGCATTATGTTTTTTACCCTCGCGAATATTCTTCTGTTATTGCGCGCAAATTTATCTAAAAAGAAAAGCTTATGGTCTGCACATCAGTGTAATCGCTTTATTAAAAATTTTCACCACATTATGTAAAATCCTTAAATTAAACTTTGAAATTATGTATTGCAAAATATGTTCAATCATAATGCTAAATACTGCTGACCTTACTAAAAGTTTTAAAATTACGTAAAATTTTATATAAAAAAACTGTAGTATATGTACCAACAAAGCAATAACTTCAAAATGAAAAACTTGGGTCCTTCTACGCCGGATAAAAGCAAACATTCTACAATTTCTGTCTTCATTACCGAAAGTACGTAAATCTATAAAGTCGCTAAAAGATATAAATGATGGTTACATTCATAAAATCTGTACAATAAATTGTATATAAGCAGTATCAGCCAAAAATAGTCGAATACTATTTTTTAAAATTATGACCAGTTTGCAAACTCACATTCACTTCTCCAGTGGATCTTTATTCAAAGTCCAGCGGCGCGACTACCTCAAAAGTCTTGACTATTAGCCTCCCTCGTTGGGTGGACACTCCAAAATATGCAGTAACTTTGTATGAGACTCTGCCTATGCTGCTATTGAACGAGGATGGCGCGGTGTACGGTATCCGATACGAGAATGGGATAGAATGGGTGCCCGCCGGTAGTACAGACATGCCTGCGATAGAAAAAGCAAACACGTCATAATATTTAATTTTGGGGGAAATACGTAAAAATACATTAAAACCCATAACGACATACAAGATGTGATGTTCATCAAAAATGTATATTGAACTCAAATAAAATGTAATATAAGGTTGATTTTTCCTAAATTTTTTTTTGGTAAATAAATGAACAAACAGTATCAAAGCACTTCGGGGATTCGAACCTGAGTCTTCTGATTTCTGTCACGCCCAGGTGATTTTCCATAATTTTATTAACACAAAATAAAAGTGCCATATAACACTCAATGGCTGTCAAGGCCATATACATTGAATTGAAACATGTATCAATCAACACAATTGGGCAAATGAATATTTTTTTTTAACCGGAGTTGATACAAAATAATCTAGAGGAGAATTATTGTTAAAATTATTTTGGGTGTTAAATAGGTATTAAAAATATACCTAATTTTTAATACCTATTTAACACTCAAAAAATTTACTCAGGTTAACTATGACATGATGGTGTATAAAATCTATCCTGTGACCATGGCAAAAAGTTTCAAATATCAAAGGTATAAAAACCAAATTTAGGTGCAACATTGTCTACTTAACAGTTTTATTCCACAATAGACAGAGACAAGTAAAGAATCACCTAGTTTGGTATTAGCCCCCCTTAAAAGGAAAATTTTCTGGGTCTGGGGCTTTCAACTTTGCCAGGTGGAGTTAGGATCAATCAACTTGGTTCTTTGACATAAGTTGAACCTTATTGAAGACTACAGGGAAAAAAACAAGGCATATCAGTAAATAGTAAAAAATGGAAAAAAAAAAGTTGTTCAATATGACAGTGTTTTATAGTGTTACATTGCGTTATATTCTTGTGTTTGACATAAAATAAAATCAATTTGGAATAATGCCTAAATGTAGTATTATGATGGGATGTGGTGTAAGCAAAAGTACAAATCGGATAAATATAACAGTTCACTGTTCAAAACATACAAATATTTTCAATATTTTTTTCTCAATAACTACAGGTCTCCCGCATGTTGAAACTTTGCATGTATGCTTAAAACTTAAATGTAGGTTACATTAAGTTTTAAGCACATTTCTGTATATATAATATCAACCCACAACTCGATGGAAGTCAATGGAAAACAGAGCCATTACCAGTACTACCCCGGACAGACGTGCCAATTTGTGAAACTGCAAAGACAGTTGCATGGGACTTTGTTTAATTTAGGGACAGTAAGGGAAATATAATTATAACAATAATAAACTTACCATGATTCCCACAAATGCACTGGACACAAGTAAAGTACTCCTCGTAGCCCTTATACTCCACATTTATATATCTCTTCACACCTGAATATATTTCAGTTTGTCGCTCAGTCCATGAAACATTTGCCTCACCATTATAAACAACATTGATTGCTATAAAAGTAAAAAAAAAATTGTAATGAATTATATTCAACTAATATCAATCAATAACCTTGACCACAGTGTATTCTTCAATAGTTTAGTAGACAGGCAAATGTATAATTTCATAGGACTTGTTAAACAAGATTAAATTTATAATTATCTTGATCCCTGCACTATAAAACAAGTCAATAGTATTAATACAAGGCAAAAAGTTAAAAACTAATGTTTAAAATACCCATTACCTGAAAAGGATAATGCTTCGCTTAGAACAAACTCGATTTTTCCTGATATTATCTGGCCAGAATAATAAATAGCCTCAGGATCATCAAGAGTTATCGCACCATTTTTTAAAACCTGTTGTGATTGTATTCATTTTTGCATTAACAATAAATTCTTGAGATACGAGCAAATAAATCTATCTATAGTGGACGCGAGTATTTATATTAAAATAAATTCCACAAAAAGAGCAGTAAAATTTATAAAAATGTGCAATTATAAATAATTCTTGAGTGCTATTCATAAATTTTACCTCGATCTTAAAACTTTTAAATAAATGTTATAAATGTACTGACAGCTCGCATCGCATCGCACTAGGGGTTGTCCGTGCGTTGCGTTTGTCCGTTGTCGGTTGAGCTGAATATTTAACATCTTAATATAATTCTCTCTATTGACATATTTGTTTTGTACTGTTTCAAGTGTTAAACTAATTAGTAATAATCAAATAATTATATCCTTTTAATAACCGCAACTGTTCACAAATTGTCAAACAATTTAACAAAGCGAACCTAAGCATGTTGTTCGTAAAAGCAGTCCAATAGTATCTTTATTCTTTTTTAAAAAAAATATGTCAAATAATGAATAAATTTCGAGTTCGTTATGTTCAACATAAGTTTTTTAATTAATTAACTTTGTTATGTTTGCGTTAGAAGTGGGCGATACAAATCGTATCAGATATGAAAACTAGATATTAGTACAATATCCCAATATCGCTTACTGGCTCGTTCAATATCTGTGTATTTTACAATATCTGATATTTCCGAAATCTGATGTACCGTGCTCGCTCGCTATACCGACACGAATCGCGATACGGCGATATCATACGCATTTGCCACAATATCTGATTTTTAAACAGATTTCGAGAGACAAAGCGCGTGAGATACAAATACTCACTAGTTAGAGCGGGACGGCAAGCAATGCACGATATCAGATATCGAGCGACAAAGCGCGTGAGATATAAACACTTACTAGGTAGAGTGGGACGGCAAGCAATGCACGATATCAGATATCGAGCGACAAAGCGCGTGAGATATAAACACTTACTAGTTAGAGTGGGACGGCAAGCAATGCACGATATCAGATTTTTTAAACAGATATTATGAATAAGTTAAGTAATTTTGAATCTTAACACCATGCAAATAAGATCCGTTTCATTTAAATACTAATCTTGGTATCAGCGATTACTACAACGATATTATTATATTTTTATTGTTTTGTTTAGCCTTGAGCCGTAACGGGCGACAAAGCGCGCAGTTAAGTAATTTTGCATCCTAACAGCATGGAAAAAAACTCTGTTGCATTTAAATACGAATTACGGTATTAACGATGTCTTTGAAATTTTGTTCAGCCTTGAGCTGGATTGCATTGGTACTTAACACGTAATAGTAAGGGATGCCAACTTACTACTTAAGAATTTTCTGCCTAAATTAAGGAAGAAAAATATACAATGGAAATTTTTTAGGAGGTAAATTTTTTGTGTGAATATTTTTATTAGCTAAATTTTATTCATATTTTTGAAAAAAACACAAAAAGTACACAAAAAGAAAAATATAATTTAATAGTGCTGGCTACTTTGGTGGAAATCAGACCAAGGCTTATGTGCCTTGTGTGTATATTTTAAATTCTTCCGCCCTAAGCTATAATACTGAATGTATTATTTCTTACACAATTAATAAAAATATTGCCACTCGATTGCGTGTTCTAAAAATATGTTAAAGTCAATTATTAAGCGGTATATAAGATGTTAAAATAAATCATTTTTGTATTACTTCAATTTATATTTTTAATGAAATTTTTAATTTAATAATTTAAAAAAACGCATTTTTAGTAAGACAGGGTTAATTATTAATGATCGTCGAACAAGACTTTCGACGAATAAAATCAGAGAGCTTACGTTCCTAAACGTGAATTTGAACCCGGAGGGATATAAATAATTATTAACCCTGACATAATTGTAAATATATAATGTTAAGTTTTAAATATAAGGAAAATTATGTATATAGAATGAATCAACTTTAAATACGCCTGCACAATTTTATATTTTTTTTTTGATAATAAGTATGAAATATTACAGCCAGTCCTAAGCCTGGAAAAAGTATGAAGGGAAGTTATTTCATTCATCTTATATCCACTCCCTTAAAGCATACAATTTTTTTTTTTTAGAATTCAATAAATCAACGTGGATAGGGAACCGTAAAATATCTAGATATTAAAATACATAGTTTCGAAATCTGATATTTGAAATCGATATCGGATTCAGATACGGTACTCAGAAAAAGCGATACGACCCATCTCTAGTTTGCGTTCAACGAGTCCTCAATATCTCTACACCACCCTAAGGTTGACTGGTAGAAAATGCCTAATCTAGTACAAAGGCGGACTTAATGCCAATTAAGTCCGCCTTTGTACTAGATTGTGCATAAAGTGTAAATAAATTAAAAAACGAATGGATTTTATTAAACGAAATATATTTCCTTAACGTCGTGGACGAATTCAACTAGATGATTTCATGGAGGGTTAAAGTAATACGTTGACAAGAGATCAAACGTTGATTTAACTAATTCGTTGATTCATTGCCCATCACTACTGTCACTTGTCACCTTGTCAGTGCTGTCAGTGTCATAATAAGAAAAAAAATAACTCAGCGTGACCAGATTTAGTAGATTTGGTAGATTTTGAGGTACTGGCAACAGAATTTAGTACGTAAAAAATATTTGGAGTATTTTAGTAGAATTCACGCTTTTGAGTTATTCTGGTACTTTATTGAGAATTTTATTTATAAAGTTTAAAGATAAACGTTTACATGAAACGATACACAAGGATATCGCGATGAATGGGAGAGCAAGATGAGGGATCTGGCTCTCCCATTGAAAGTTGGTAATGTAAATCTTAGTTAAACACTATGAGTGCTCATTGTAAATGTTGAATTAGTAATCTCAGATTATACATACTCTTTTGATGTCAACTCTGACCTGTTTGGTTTATGTATTAATGTTTGAATTACTTAAATTAAATTTGGAATGTTAGTTTTATTTGTTCAGACTGAATTGTGTCATGTTTGATAGATTCCGTAAAAATTGCTAAAAGAAGTAACATGTCCATCTATCTAACAAAACTCTTGTATTTTATATAAATTTCATAATCATTACGTTTGGTCTAAAATAAGTTCAAAATGTTGAAATAAACAGTTTTCCTATCAGTCCTTAAGCGTCTTTTTGGTTTGAGAGCGATCCCATGAGCCACATCCATCATTCAAGAGGTAAAGGGCCCAGAAACATCTATATTTTTGGAGATTTTGAGCAAAAGTGACAGCTGCAAAGAAATTTTCAAAGATGGACAAGCCCATCAAACCATTGTTAGAAAAAGATACTACCATTCAAGACTGGAAACAAAAGAGGATTTTGAAAATATCTGCAGCGGATTTTGAAAATATTTTGAAAAATAACGAGCAGACTGCGACCACGAGTGAAGATTTATTATCCATGAATAAAATGGAGGCATGGTGATGAAGAAGAAATAATTGAAAAAAAAGAATTCAAAAGGGAACAATTGAAAAAAAAAATGACGTTGGGAATGAGGAGAGTGCAGAAACAAATGAAGTAGTTTGTGAGGAAACAGTTGAAGATGTGAGGAGTGTGAATTTTGTTCATAATCAGGATGAAGAAGTTGTAGAGAATAAAGGAGATTTTGATGGTTTTTTTTTTTGATGCGAGTGGAGATAGACAGGAGGAGGTTGTTGCGGAGGTTGTGAGTCCAAGGAGGGATCCACCGAGAAGTAGGTTTTTATGAAGAGGAGATGGAGGTTGTTGCGGAGGGTGTGAGTCCAGGGAGGGATCCACCGAGAAATAGGTCTTTGTGAAGAGGAGACGGAGATTGTTGCGGAGGGTGTGAGTTCAGGGAGGGATCGACCGAGAAATAGGTCTTTGTGAAGAGGAGACGGAGGTTGTTGCGGAGGGTGTGAGTCCAGAGAGGGATGCCCCGAGAAATAGGTCTTTATGGACGGGAAGACGGAGGTTGTTGCGGAGTTTGTGGGTCCAGGGAGGGATCCACCGATAAATAGGTCTTTACCTGAGAGGTATAAGGATTGTTGTGGATTTTTTTGACTGTGTGCACTTTTACGTTTTGAGAGGTGGTTGGCTCCGGTTTGACGGAGCGATGGTTGATGGCTGTGGAGGAGGTGAGGTTTTTCTTTGGAGAGGAATGGCGCGTGGGAGTTGGTTGTTGAAAAAGAGGCTGAAGGGGAAGATTTGAGGGTTGAAGTCTTTACAAGTTCTAAAACAAGCTCCATTGATGTGGCACATTGGTGTCATTGTCTTGATAGCCGTTATTAAGAAATTTAAGTATTTTAATTCTAAACCTTTTAGTGTAGGTAGTGCTAATGTAAGGGGGTGTTAATAATAGAGATTCACGCAGTGGAAGCGTGTGTATGAGATTGTAGTAAGGGAAAGAATCGGAATTCAAAACGGAATTTTTCATCTTTTTACAGAATTTTTGATATATCTTCCTATTATAATGTATTGTTTTTCTTGTATTTTTGTGGTTTTAGTTAAGTTTTGTGGTTTTTGTTGGGAGTGTGTTATTGTTGTTTTATGGTTTGTTTGTTGATAATTTCTAAATTTTTTGGGTTTTCTTTACTTGTCGGGTGTTATGATGTATATCTGAGATTAAGGGGGTGTGTTGATTAGTAATCTCAGATTATACATACTCTTTTGATGTCAACTCTGACCTGTTTGGTTTATGTATTAATGTTTGAATTACTTAAATTAAATTTGGAATGTTAGTTTTATTTGTTCAGACTGAATTGTCATGTTTGATAGATTCCGTAAAAATTGCTTAAAGAAGTAACATGTCCATCTATCTAACAAAACTCTTGTATTTTATATAAATTTCATAATCATTACGTTTGGTCTAAAATAAGTTCAAAATGTTTAAGTTGAAATAAACAGTTTTCCTATCAGTCCTTAAGTGTCTTTTTGGTTTGAGAGCGATCCCATGAGCCACATCCACCATTCAAGAGTAAATAGTGCAACTAAGTAGACTGGCGTCGTTGAAGGAACACATGGCTACATCAAAGCATA